CCTGAAATAACCTGCAAAAGCACCTTACGTGGTTATCAACAGCCACACAGGGAAAAGCACCAGTGGTCTTCAAGCCAGCCCTCAGCTAGTCAGCACACTGCTCTTGCACACAGCCACCTCCTACCTGGCAGCCCTCATTAAATCAGGCTCCCCTGCAAAAAGCAGAAAAGTGCTGCTAGACCTGGCTGGTGCCAGAGAAGCCTTCACTTTTTCTCTCATTTTGGGCTAGGAAAACTTGCAATAAGTCACCTCTGTGTCATAGACTAAACAAGTGTTACATCAAATAAACTGTCCACAGGAAATTTAGTTTGTTTCCTCACTCAGGGTGTGTTTGAATTTTTTGCTTGGGGGTTTGTTTGGGTTTTGGTTAGTTTGGTTTTGGTTGGGTTTTTTTTAGGAAATACCTTCCAGGTTCTATTCTGTATCAGACTTAACTGATATTCGGGTTTTCTCTAAATTTTATAACAAGTGCAAGATGTCTACTAATTTCTTAAGTAATTTATGTTGAAGAAAAAAAAAAGCACAACAACAAACAACAGACAAAAAAAACAACAAGCAAGTCAGCACACAAACAAAAAAAACCCACTCACAACTTAATACTCTAGATGCCCATTCTTATTCGCATCCTGTGAAAGGATTTCTCCCCTCCAATGCGTTATGGGATTTTCATTGCTGCTTTTCTAGTGAAGTGATTGGACACCATTTGCAAACAGATAGGGTTGACCACTTGCCTAAGGAGGGAAGAACAAAGCCTATAACCTATGATCAGTCTATCACTTCCCCAGTACTGCCATATCAGCATTACAACCATATGCAGCTGCTGTGGACTTCAAAATCCACACAGTAAATTCTTCCTAGTTACTAGCCTAGTCCAACAGGACAAGCTGTTTCAAGTTATTATTTGTGTCTTTTCATAATATATTACACGTCAAAATACTTCAAACTCAAGCATTATTATTTAATGTTCATATGTGCTCACCCTTACTGAAGGAAAATTAAAAAAAAAAAATAAAGAAAAAAATAATTGTACGTTTATTCCCTTCTAAGCTGGAGTGTTAGTTTTACAATTGAAGCATGCAACTCTCAGAAGAAGCAAAAGTAATGCTGTATGTATTAAATTGTGCAAGAAGAAAAATGAGATATTAAGATCCATACAAATTGTTTCCATGTCTCACTCCTTAAAAATAATTTATTTCTCAAACATAAAATGGATAATTTTTGACCTAAACTTCTGCTGAACTGCAAGTATTCTGACCTATCTTTATACATGATCATATCCACAAGATAAATGTTTAAAATAGCTGTTTTCATTCATGTAATTAGAAATTGATCATAAATACATTTAGAGAAATAAATCGATCTCTTGCTATCACAGCAGCAGGCAAGGAGTTCGCTTTCACTAACTCATCACTGCAATTACAGTGGCAATCGATTAATAAAAAAACCTGTTCTGAAAAAAACACAACCCCTATAGCAGTAAATAAATAAGGGGGGGGGAATAAATCACAGACTATCTTATACCCAAAGAACGAGTCCAGACATCTTCCCCCCTCCCCTTTTATCCCTCCGAGGTTAAGTAACAGAAAATGGCTGAAAGCGAGAAAAACAAGGGAGAGAAAATGGTGTGTGGAGGCTCTTGATTGGTCAGATTTTGCTGCAGAGTTCAGTTCCTGACCGAGAAAGGAAGATTTCTTTAGTATGAAGCGCATCAGCCGCTGACAGAAAAGCAAGTCATGACATTTTAGGCTTTCCAGCAGAAATATTTCCTTCTAAGCAATTCTCCGTGTCTCCTTGTTGCTGAATTGAACCGAAGGCTGAATTCAAACCAGTCCGACCGCTTCTTAAAGGCACAGCTGCTCGTTTGCAGCCCTGAGAAGCAGAAAGGCTTCATTTCCAGCGCTTAGTGGAGCAGCAAGCTCCCCAAATCACATAAAACGGACTGTAATACAAATATGTGTGTGTATATATATAAAGGGGATGAAAAGTTAGAGATTATTTTGGAAATCTGCATTTTCCAGGCACTAAATACAAGTCGTAGGGGGGCAAGGAGTTGCGCAGCTGAATATGCAAGTCAGTGAGAAACCCAGTTTCCCAGGTAGGTTCACCAAAATCACTGAATGCGACGAATAGGAAAGTCTACATTTAAAAATAATTCTGGACTCGAAGTTTATGATCACCGGTACTCCCGAAAAACGACTCTTTGCCTTCAGTTCAGCAAATATTCCCGGGAGTCTAAACAGAGAAAACTGATCCAAATAGGCATCTTTGACCATTCATGCAGGATACCCAGAGCCATAAGGGATGCCACGAATGCGTTCCATTAAAAAAAAATAACAAATAATAATAATAATGATAATAATAATAATATTAATAATACCTGCAGAAACCACGACTTTTTAGGGGGAAAAAAAAGGTTTATATAAACTACCCTCGCCACCGCCCTACTTCCAGCTCTCTCTGGTAATACTTTTGTCTCAGAAATTAACGAGAAAAGGGCTGAAGGTGCCCAGAAGACGTCGCTCAGGACGGGGACAACCAGACAGCGAGTGATAAAGCACTGAGAAAGCCACCGACCGAGCGCCGTCCTGGGAGGGCGGGAAAGGGTCTCTTGCTGCTTCAGGAACAGCAGCCTCGCACCACCCAAAAAATAAGGAAAAAAAAAATAAAAATAGAAATTGCTTGGAAAAGAAAACAAGATTTCTGTCAGGGTAACATACCACAGTGGCATTACCATAAAAAATTTAAAGTAAACGCAGGGTAGCAAGAGACATTTAGAATGTTTAGCGCTGAATACAACTTCTTTAGTCCAGAATACAACACTTCTATAAAGTCACCTTTATGCATCGAGTTTGTATAGACACCCCTAAGACACAAACTGAAAAATCATATATATACGTACATATTAGAGCATTGTATCTGCTCCTTTGCAAAAGGAAAGGCCACTTTTAGAACTACAGAATGATGTGGGTAGGAAGGGACTTTGGACCTTAAAGACCACCTTATTCCAAAACCCCTGCCATGGGCAGAGAAAGCTCCCACTAGACCAGGTTGCTCCCAGCCCCATGCAACCTCTCCATTCACAGCTTCTCCGGGCAAGCCGATTCAGGTTAGTTTCAGGATTAGGATTTTTTCCTAGGCAGCTAAAAAGTTAGTCCCCTAGGAAAAAAAAAATAATCATATACATATAAAAATATTTTTCAACTTAAGCCATATTTTTCTGGTGACAACAGACATAAAAACAAACCTTCCACACCATATTTTTCTGCTAGTCAGGACGATTATCACTTTTGAAACAACTTAGGTTTTCTTTGGTACTTACTTGATGAAGTACAGGCTCTTACTACAGAACAGCGACCCTAAAAGCAAAGCAAAACATCACTTGCGACACACGGCTAAGCTTACAGCTCTCTTTAGTGGCGATGTGGTGGCTCTTAAAAGAGCCTTTGGGTTCTCGATAGTCTGGAAAGGGCCGTTCCTCAAGAGCTCAGGCGCGCTCGCCGCGGATGCGCCGGGCCAGCTGGATGTCCTTGGGCATGATGGTGACGCGCTTGGCGTGGATGGCGCAGAGGTTGGTGTCCTCGAACAGCCCCACCAGGTAGGCCTCGCTCGCCTCCTGCAGCGCCATCACGGCCGAGCTCTGGAAGCGCAGGTCGGTCTTGAAGTCCTGCGCGATCTCGCGCACCAGCCGCTGGAAGGGCAGCTTGCGGGTCAGGA